TCCAACTTAAAGGCTCCACTCAGAAATGGTTCACTAGAGTGTGAAAAACATCTCCACAGCCAGGCCTGGCTTCTCTCCTGCTGCCCTCTGTCCCTCCTGCATTTTGCGTTTCCATTAAGGTTTCATCCTTCCCACGCAAACACTCAAGGCAGAAATGCAAGAATCAATCTTGACTGCTCTCCCATCAAATTATTTCCCTGCCAACGGTTATGACAAGGACGCTCCTTTCCACTCCTTCTACCAGTCGGGCTCCCACCATTTGGACTTAGATTAGCACTGCAGTTCCTTCATTGTCTCTACCCCCTTTGCTAAATCTGGATTTGGTCTTGTGACTTATCTGCTTGAAATTTCCAGTGGCTTCCTGTTACTCTTAGGCTTAGATCCAACTTTGAAATATGGTATAAAAGACACTGAGAAGCCTGCCTCCTTCCCCTCACCATCTTCCTACATTCACTGTCTTCCTACATTCCTATTTTAATTCCTCCTCAATAAGCATTTGCTTCACACACGTCCCTGTATCTTCTACCTATGGCTCAGAACTCAGGTAATAGTAGCACAGTGACGTGAGGAAAGCCTGTTCTCACACTGTCCCATTGCCCCTAAGTCGGGTGTATCCCCTTCCACTGAGAGCTGTCTTGTGCACCACTCTGAAAATAGGATGCCATCACACTGTTTTGCTTCACTCCACGTTACAGCCTCAGGACAAGAACTACACTGTCAATGACATCATTTCGTTGGTCAGTGCCAAGTCTATACCACAGTACTTGTTCAATATATATACTTCTTGAATAAGTGAACAATTAAAAACAATGTGCATTTTAGCACTTGATAACAATTAATTAGTTCTGTTATGGCTTGAATCTAGATGTCCCCCACACCCTCATGCACTGATTGATACGGCCTTTGGGAAGAGGTGTGTAATACTGGATTAGGAATGAAATAAATGAATTAATCAACACATTGGTTTAGCACAGCTCTGGGTGTAGGTAACGGGAAGGCCCACCCCGGGTGTGGGTGGCATTATCCAATAGGCTTGTGGCCTCAACAAATGAAAAAAAGAAAAGAAGGCTTGGTGCTGAATTCTTCCTGTCTCCAAACCATGGACTAATTCAATGCCATGCTGCTCTCTTTAGAGAAAACTTACTAAAGATGGAAGCCTCTAAAAATGTGAACTAAAATAAATTGTGGGTATTGAGTGTTTTGTCCCAGCAACAAGAAATTAGCTAATACGAGCTCTTATGAGCATGAAGTCACTTTCTGTCACTGACTTGGACTTCCAGAGCTGCCAGCCTAAAGCTAGCTCTGACACGAATATTATCGTTTAAAAATGCTGGGTGAAAATGAATGAATTAATGAGTGAATGAATGAATGCCAGGTGAGAGGAAGGCCTGAATGGGAGGTCCAGATGGTGCAGTGGAAGGAAGCTGTCTGCTGGAATGAATGCGAGTCACGCCAGAACTGCGAGTGTTATCTCCAATTCAGACCCAGGAGCGACAGAATCACCCAGAAACCATGATACTGAGATATCTCTGTTCCAGGTAGCAATAATATATAAAATTAACTTTATAGTTGTTCTTTATTGGCATGGTAAGACAGAAAGGTAGCTAGAAAACCCCCAAGTCATACAGTCTTAAGTACTATTTGGCAGATTTTTTTTTTCTAATGAATTGTATAAATAATTCCTTCACATAAATCACTGTCTCCTACTGTGTGACGTTACAATGGTGATAATGTTCTCATAGGATTAGCATGCAGTATTGTTATGAAATTTAGAGTAAAATAACTCCTTCAATAAGTCACTCAATTGTAGTGGAATAGAAAAGAAAAAGAATTGTATCATGGATAGGTAAAAATGCTCTATGCTGAATGTGATCACTATGCGTATCTAAAATGCACCAATAAAATCTGATTGAAACAAAAATCACTCAATTTTGCCATGTATATGTATGCTATTATATTGCTAGAAATATACCATATAACTTCAAGTAAAAACATTAATTTGGAGAGAAAAATAACAATTTATCTCAAGGAGTAGTCATTTCAAAATTAATTCTAAGAATCAGGTATTTCAAAGTCATTAACTTTTAACATCAGAATGATCAATTACTAGGATTCATATTCTACATCCTTACCAAATATCTAGTCACAGGGCTTTCATAAATTTGTAAGTACAAAAGGAAGATGCAAAATTTAAATTATTGGACAGTTTGTCTTTCTACCAAAAATCCCAAATTAATCTTTCAGAATCCTAAGTGATGAACTCTTGTATTACAGAAAGACTCCAAAGAGTATGAGACGTATCATTTTATCCACCAAAACAACTCTGAAACTCATCAGTTCTTGAACCTTCATTTATTTAACATGTTGCAGATATCAATAGTTAAGAGTGTGAATGGTGCACCCACAATGCGAAGCTCAGTCCCACTTGCACTTGTCAGCTCTGTATCCCTGGGAGGCTTTGACTGCCTTGCTGGGCCTCACTGTTCTCATCTGCAAAATGGATTAATGGAGTGCCTACCTCTTGGAGCTCTGGGACTATTAAAGTTTAACTCACGAAATATGTTTGAACAGTTATTGGTCATCACCGTCTCCTACCGTGTGGCTGGTTACAATGGTGATAACGCGCTCATAGGATTAGGATACAGTATTATTATGAACTTTAGAAAATGGTATAACTTAGCCTTTGAGTGATTAGGGAAGAAAAATTAATCAATTTGGTTCCAAGGGCCAGGAAAAACTGGCATAATATCCAGCATTTTGCAGAAATCCTCAGTTTTCTATGGAATGAAAAACTTTTAATTACTAAAAAGTAGTGAGGAGACAGGTCAGCAGTGGGTGCTCCTGCAGTCAGATACATGCATACGCACTGATAAGCAGTCAAGCGACTGTACAGAACTACCACTAATATACATCTATGAATATTATTTTTCATAGTAGTAAAAACTATAATATAAAGCTATACTAATATTAACAGTAAAACAAATATAAGTACTGTTGACTATCAGCCTTATGTTTTCTTTTGGTAATGTCAAATTATAACTGTGTAGCAATTCAGACAAATTTTTATAGCACCATGTTATGGGTTACAACTTCTTGATGAATTTTCAAAATTTAACTTCCCTTGATCTACCTCATAGATCAGACAATTTAATTATTAGACAATAATACCCATAGCCACCACTTATGTCAGATATTATGCATGCTAACCAAACATTCATTTTTATGTGCTTTGGTTGTGGTTGTTAACTATTGCATGTCTAACCATTGAGTGCTTTATTTTTATAGCCAAAGAAATTTACAGGGTCAGTTTTCAAACCACTGAAATAAATGTATAGCTATTTATGGTTAAAAAATAGTATCTCTCATCTCTTTACAATCGTTAGGTTAGTATTAAAAATATCAACTATAACTACAAAAAGATTAATCCTATACAAACTCATTCCTAGAAATACTTTAAAATTTCTTTAAAGGAATAGAACAGTATTCAAATATGAATTCTATAACTTCTTCTGCCTCTTGAAGACAGGAACACACTTGGGAGGCTGAAGCAGGAGGATTGCCATGAGATCAAGGCCAGCCTGGGCTGCACAGTGAGATCAAGGCCAGCCTAAACTACATAGCGAAAAATAAATAAATAAGTAAAGAAATAAACTACATAGCAAGACCCTGTCAGAATAAGGAAAAAAATATAACAAAACCAAAAAAAACAAAACAAAACAAAAAAAAAACCCAGACAGAAATGGGTACCCTATCAAACATGACTCTATAAAAACACAAAAGCTAGTACAAAAGTGGGCACACCTATTAACTTCATCTATCCTGACTATCTTTCCTACATACAAAATACATGCTGTTCCTTAACTGTCGTGTAAATTTCTTAAGGGACTTATTTTCCCACTCACGCTGTAATACCAACAATTCAGGTCTCCTAATCTAGTATTTGTTTCTGCAAATTATTACAAATGTACAAGGTAGGATAAGTATCAAAACCTAAACATCCCATTCATAAAATAAGTGGAGACAACTGAAATACAGCATAAAACTATAAAACTAGTCTTTGCTTTTTTTATTCTTCATTTTTTTTTTGTTTTTTTAATCTGCAAATGTAGATTAAATTTAGCAAGTAATCATTTTTGCCAAAATCAATAATGGTATCACTGCTACAAAATTCACAACAAGCATAATGTGAAAAATAAGTATAAATTGTACCATATATGGCAAAAAGAAAAAAACTAAAACAGAAGTGACAAGAAACATGCTTGAGGGAAAGATAGGATGTAAAAGCAATCTCTCTCAGTAGCACCTTCCTCGCCTCTGTAAGAAGAGGACATTATATGCCAGTTTCTGAGCTCAAGAAACTGAAATGCACTTGAAAGTACAGGCTTTGGCTGAAGGGGTGTTCCCATTCCTTAAGCTCAGGACTGCGGCAAGAGGAACCGCAGGGAAAGAGCAAGGCGATGGGATTCACGCAGTGGGCTGGAAGAAAAGACGTCCCCAAGGCCCACCCCCCACCCCACCCCCCATTCCCCATCCCCCGCCCCCCACCCACCCCCACCCCCGCTAAGAAGGGCTAGGCAGAAGGGGGCCTGACAGCCTTCAGCAAGGCCAGGAGCAGAGAAGAAAAGGACCATGTCAGAAGCGACACAGAATTCTGTTTTTTTTCCAGAACTAATTCTGACTCCTTATTTGCACTGAATGGCCTGACAATTAAAATGAACAAACAACGACAACAACAACAACAACCCCCAGAACATAACTTGCACTACTACTCCTGTCTGTAATGGCAAAATCACATGGTACTTTGATTATTACTCCAGTTTCGGCATAACACATACGTATTTTCCATTATGTTCAGCTGATCAGAATTTTTTAAATTTGGGTTGTCAGTCTCAGGATTTTTATCCTGAAAAGATTTACTATATAATGTCAGTGTCAATATCAACAGCATTTTAAAATTGAGCAAAAAAGGAAACTAGAATATATTTAATGAAATTCCATACCTGGTGATACTTCCTGGGGTTCTTCCACAGGAGGAACACTTACTTCTAAAAAAAAAAAAAAAGTCACAATCCATTAAATGTTACTGACCAGAGTTTAAAATACATACTAGCAATACTGTATCAGCTATGATGATTACTTTTATAGACTTAAAATACTCAATTGAATGATCATGAAAACATAAGGTTTGCACACTATCCCTGCAAAGCAAAGTATGAGCTACAAGAGAGCAAAATGCTGTATCTTTTGCAACTGTTCTGCACAACAGTCTGCTGTGCAATCATCTTTCTAACCAACTTCAAAATTTTGTTGCTAAGCACATGAAATACAGACTAAAACAGGTTTCTGCCTCACTTCTGCATCAAACATCGTAAGCCACCTGAGGACAGACTGCTTAGGCAGAGCGCAGCGGCTGGGGATCCCCCTAGAGCTGTGTGGCCCCGCCCCAAGGGGCACACTGAGACAGTGATTGAGACTCAGCACACTGCTGCGCGCCTGGAATCCCAACTCTTGGGAAGCTGAACATAGGCGGATCACTATGAGTAGGATCTACGTAGTGAGACCCTGTAGACCCTGTACTAAAAATACAAAGGAAAAGGGAAAAACTGAAGAAAGACACATAGTATGTCTTGTTTCATCACTAAAGAATTTTTATTAAAAAGTTTTGCAGGGAGGGAGCTTTTGGGAGTGCAGGGGATCACACCTGAGCCTGGCACACGTTAATAAGCACAGACTTGCTCAGGGCGCTACACTCAGAAACTCTTGAGAAGTTTTTTGGCTCATAATAATACCTTAGTATTACACAACATAAATAAATCTGCAGTCAAATCTTAAAATCATACCATTCTTAACATTTCTGAAAAATAATGTTCAAGCTAACTGTTTTCCCCCCTATACTGCTGAATGAACTTAGGTCCTGGCATATCCCACAGGCTCCACTTGTGAGCTACCTGCACCCCAGCTCCCAAAATATTCAAAGACTCGTCAATGATGTGGATGTGAAACTTTTACTGTCTTGTTTTTTCCCTTGGCTGCTTCAACCTAATTACAACCAGTGAATGCAAGCATCATCACCCAGTGTTTCAAAGATGAATTTATTTATTTGATCCACAAAATTATATCACATATTAATGTCCTAAAAACCCAACAACCCAGGCTGGCAAGACAGCTCAAGGGACTAAGCGCCTGCCTAGGCAAGTGCAGGAACCAAGATTCGATCCCAGCACCACATGCCATACCAGCCCTGCCCAGAGGGCATGCTAAGCTGGCCACCAAGACCGGGCATGGTGGTGCACGCCTGCAATCCCAGCACTTGGGAGGCTGAAAACAGGACCACTATGAGCCCAACCTGCATAGTAAGACCCTGTACCAAATACAATGAAAACAAAAATATTTTTAAAAATTTACAAACCTAACAACCCATTTAATGCTACATTAATGTAAAGATTCCATCAGCTTTCCTTTTGCTACTTAAACCACTAATAGGCTTTTGTCAAAAATAGGTATTTTAATATTTTCTACAACTCAAAATATTTGTGCAACTATTTTATCTTTCTTCTTGCCACAATTCGCTAAATTATAAAAATGATGGACACTAAAAAGAGTATTTGAAAATATTTTACATAAAAGGAAAGTGAAAATAACCAAACATTTCTACTAACAACTATTAATGTATTACACTTCCTGTTATTTTCTTCACTGTTATATTGAGAAAGCTATTATTTCAAGTTAAATTAGATTTTCATCTCATTTTATTCTGAAAAATATACATCATAAAAATTCTTCTTAAACTTTTTATATAATTTATTTTCATATCATTTTTAACCTCATAAAATTTTTGGCAAATTAGTCATGTCAGCACAACCTCAAGTCATTGCCTATTTAATACACATGGCCTGCTTCTTCTACCCCTAGATCTTTTTAATTCACCTCAGCTAGCATGGCTTTGTCTCTCTCTCACCAACTGGTCCACCGGCTTCTAGGAAGGGCAGCCACATTCTCGGTGCTGCCACACATGATGGACACTTCCCAGGCTTGGGGCCCGTGGGCCACTCAGCAAGATACAGCGTGCCCCATCTTTTCTTCTGGGCCTATTTTTCTCCTGACTCACTGGCTGTTTAGCCTCCATTCAACTTCATAATGTTGGAATCCCTCGCCAACATCAGTCCTCGGACAGCCTCTCCACTCTCCGAGATGATGGATCGCAAACATTCCCATCTGTCTCAGATGTTGCCCAATCAGTTGACAGTGGCATGTCTAGCTCTATACTTAATACCTTTACTTGGATATCTCATGGAATTTTTAAACTTAAAATGCCCGTGTTTCTTCTCAGTAAATGGCCCCATTTTCTGGATATTATGCAAACCAAACATCCCTTTTATCCCCTCTCTTGGTTTCACAATGACCTCTAATGATACTGCCCTGAATCCACCTAATCTGTCTTTTCTTTCTTCTTTTTTTTTTTTGTCTTTTGCTTCACAAGCACTAGAAAAATCCATCAATTTAAATTTTAATGACAGAAAACAGAATTCAATGACAGAAAACTCATTAAGCATGAGAAAAGCTCTGGGTTTGAAGAAAAAGAAAAAAAACAAAAATCCACATTTAAAAAAAATGTGGAGCTATAATTCCAGCACTAGAGAGGCTGAGGCAGAAAGATTGCTTTGAGTTCCCTGCTGCCTGGGCTACATAGTGACACCCTGTCTCTTAAAAAAAAAAAATCTCCAATCTAACACTCTCCCTCCCCTTTCCAAGCTAAGATCTCACTCTAGGACACAACCATTATTTCCCCTACAGGTGGCTCCTTCCTCCATTCTCATTCTAGCCAATCCATTCTATAGCAGGTTGGAGCAAAAGTAATTCTTCAAAACTTAAGCACAATTGTACTGAACTTTAAGTATTTCCATAAATTTTTATGACATAAAATCCAAACTCCCCCGAAAGTCCTAGTTAATTTGCTCATCATCTTTACACAGAACTCAATAATGGGTTCTGTGTTCTTGCTTTCCGAATCCAGAGCTGTACTGATACAACCTGACAAGTAAAGATGAGGGAAGAGGAGGCCAGCAGTTGTGGAAAGATGAAGAATCTTGTGGCTGGGAAGAGAGCGCAACAGTCTAAGTGCATGCTGCCAACCCAGGTTCGAACCCCAGTACCACACGTCATGCTGGCCCTGGAACCCTGGGCACCGGTTTGGGCATGAGGTGCATACCTGTAATGCCAGCACTGGGGAGACTGAGACAGGAGGATCATTACAAATCCAAGTTGCATAGCAAGACCCTATACCAAATAAATAAAAGATTTTTTTTTAAGTTAAAAAAAAAAAATCTTGG